TAAATAATAATATGTCTAACTGAATAATTTTACAATAAATAATTTTTTTGAAATATAATTATCAAACACTAAAATGTTTTTTTTTTAACAGTATAACACAGTATTTCTAATAATTATAGAACAACATCAGGTAACATTGTCAAATTAAATCTTAACCAATAATTCTGATGTTTATTTATTTATTTATTTATTTATTTTGATATTTATAATTATAATATCCTGAGTCACAATTTATACATTTTAAAATTATTTTTTTTAATAATTTTAATAATAAAATTTCTACATCAATTTAGTTCATTTTTAAAAATTAATTTTTTTTCAATACAATCAAACATTCAAGCTTTCTTTATGAAGGATTCATGATCCACCCTCTTTGTCACCAAAAGGAGGGTTAGAGGAACTTAGGGAAGAGTTAGTTGTTGTTATGTAACCTGAACATAATTGTGGATAGGAAATTTATCTATTACTAGCAATTTATGCTTAACAATTTAAGACACTGAAGGGTTTCAATTAAAGTCGGAACATGTACATTAAGACTCAGGTGTTGTGTCTCTAAATTATTAAACGTTCTTAATTGTTTCCTTGTTCCTAAAGATGGGGCTTTTTTGAACTTTTTATCCTTATACAACTTGTTCCCAGAGATAAGAACAAGCCTTGGCAATGTATCCATCTTCAATTGGCTAAAGTTAATTAGCTCCACTGTCAGGAATCCATGAGTTTGGATCTTTCTGAACATGGATTGTGGAAAAATGGTAGAAACGACAAAAGATATCTGTATTCGTCCTCATTCTAACATTTTGCTTGCTCACATTTTCATGAAAATGTAATGCAAATGGAGGGTTTTACAAACACAGAAAGAAAGCTTTTGACAACTTTTTTAATTTAATCTTGTCCAGATCATACCAATCTCAGGAAATGGTGTTCCTATGTGGATAACAATCAAATGCTTTAGTCTTTTTGGCACCTTTAACTCAATAAAATGCAATTCATAAAAAAAAGAAAAAAAAATTCTTTTCCAAAATGGTCCCCTGCCCTTCAATGCAAATTCACCCAACAAGATTATATAATGGAATATATTATTCCCAACTTATCCACCTTTATTCTGGAAAGAATTTTCCACTCCACCCTGTCATGGACCTGGATGAATGAAAAACACAGGAACACAGAAAAAAATGAAATCTATACACGTGTGTCGAAACAGACAATTCATCAAACAGAGGTCAACCAAAAAATTAATTTATATCAATGCTGAGTGATAAAATCCTATATCACAAAATATAACAACAAATAAGTGAAACTTAAATATTATAAGAATAACTATTTTATCTATTGTTAATTGATTTTAAATTATATATAAATCTTGTATTAAAGCCATGCTCAATTTTCATAATCAATTGGTGTTTGTTGTTGGGTTATAATGTAAAATTGAGTAGTATGGTTGGTGAAAGTTTAACCAAAGTAAAGATGCTTGAAAATCTCTTTCTATGCATATCAGAACAAACCAGGACCCAAAATAAGTAGGAATATATGGACACGACGTGTAAACAGGCAAGGGAAAACAGCATATGACACCGAGGTGAATTTGTATGCATATACTGTTAAGGCACCACAAAAATCAGCATAACCAATGAAAATATCTTTCATGAAATGAGCTTGATTATGAAAATACATGAGAAACATTGAACACATGGACATGCTTAAATTAAAATGAGCAACACTGTAACGTGCCAGCATGGAACATTGGGCTGTGGCCATCCATAAGAAAGCAGAATAATCACATCAAGAGAGGTCCTGGTCAAGAGAACATACGGTGATCAGGATCAACACAAAGATTATTCTAACATCAAATTTCATGTAAAGTACTTACACTGATGTTATTCTCCACATGAGATGGTGGGGTATGAGCATAAAGCTTCTTTATGCAAAGAAATGCACCGCTCTTTCTATCTCTCCCAGTACTGCTGCTAGACCCTGCCTTTCGTTATCAAGGCTTAATACTGCTGCACACAATGATCCCCTCAATCAACCAATTTATATACTTCTTCTCCTCCTCTACTCCTTCCTAGCAACAACAACCTTAACTGCCTTAAAACATCACTCCATTTTTTTTTTTCTTTTTTCTGTCCTTCCTATCAAATGGAAATCAAGAGTTTTTCCATCTTCTCTGTGTTGCTAATCGTTGTGTCCTGTGCTTCCCAAGTTATCGGCACTAACCAGTCTCAGTTCTTCAATCTCATGAAATCTTCTTTGTCAGGAGATGCTCTATCTGATTGGGATGTTACTGGAGGGAAGCCTTACTGCAATTTCACAGGAATTAGCTGCAACGATAAAGGGTATGTTGAAGGGATGAACATGTCTGGGTGGTTAGTAGCTGGCAGTTTTCCAGATGGTATATGCTCATATCTGCCAGAATTGCGTGTTCTTGATCTGAGCCATAATCACCTTCATGGCAATTTCATCAACAGCATTGCCAACTGCTCTCTCTTGGAAAAACTCAACATCAGTTTTATCTACCTAAGGGCAGAACTTCCAGATTTCACCAACATCAAATCTCTGCGTGTGCTTGACATCTCATACAATGAATTTAGAGGTGACTTCCCCATGTCGATAACTAATCTTACCAATCTTGAGGTGATTAACTTCAATGAGAATGGTTTTTTGAACCCGTGGCGACTGCCGGAGAACATTTCCAGGCTGATAAAGCTCAAAGTCATAATCTTCACAACGTGCCAGTTGTATGGTCAGATCCCACCATCAATTGGAAACATGACATCGCTTGTTGATCTTGAGTTGGATGGCAATTTCCTTTCAGGTCAGATTCCTGCAGAGCTTGGGAAACTGAAGAACTTGCAACAGCTTGAACTATACTACAATTACCACTTATCTGGAAGCATACCTGACGAACTGGGAAATCTGACAGAGCTTACAGACTTGGACATTTCAGTCAATAGCCTGAGAGGAAGCATTCCAGAGTCTATATGCAGGCTTCCAAAACTTCGAGCCCTGCAACTTTACAACAACAGCCTCAGTGGAGAAATCCCAAGTGCAATTGCAGACTCCACAACCCTGAGCCTTCTCTCCCTCTACGACAATTTCCTTACAGGGCAAGTTCCACGGAATCTGGGGCGGTCATCACCAATGATTGCTCTAGACTTGTCAGAGAACAATCTAACAGGCCCATTGCCAGCGGAGGTCTGTCGAGGAGGTAAATTGCAGTACTTTCTTGTTCTTGAAAACATGTTTTTTGGACAGATACCTGACAACTATGCAAACTGCAAGACTCTTCTGCGGTTTCGAGTTAGCAAGAACCTTTTAGAGGGGTCAATACCGGAAGAGCTTCTAGGTCTCCCTCATGCTTCAATTATTGACTTGGGTTACAATAATCTGACTGGTCCTTTTCCAAATTCACTTGGAAATGCAAGGAACTTGTCAGAATTGTTCATACAAAACAATAAGATTTCAGGTGTCCTACCACCTGAAATTTCCCAAGCTGTCAATCTGGTGAAGATTGATCTCAGTAACAACCTCTTGTCCGGTCCAATACCTTCAGAAATTGGCAATCTGAGGAAGCTAAATTTACTGATGTTGCAAGGCAACCAGCTCAATTCTTCCATTCCCAACTCACTCTCTCAGCTCAAATCTCTCAACGTTCTTGATCTCTCCAACAACCTCCTGACAGGGAATATCCCAGACAGTCTCTGTGAATTATTACCAAACTCCGTCAACTTTTCAAACAATAAGCTTTCTGGTCCAATTCCTCTGTCATTGATTAAGGGAGGGTTAGTAGAGAGCTTTTCAGGCAACCCAGCTCTCTGTGTTCCAGTCCATGTTAAAAAGTTTCCCATATGTCCACAGACTTACAAGCAGAAAAAGATAAAGTACGTTTGGGTAGTTGGGCTTACATCCGGTATCACTGTTGTTGGAGTGCTCCTGTTTCTAAAACACCGGTGCAACAAAGAAAGAGCTGTTGTAGAGCATGATGAGACCCCGTCTTCATCATTCTTTTCATATGATATCAAGAGCTTCCATCGAATAACTTTTGATCAAGGTGAGATCCTTCAAGCCATGGTTGATAAAAACATTATTGGCCAAGGGGGGTCTGGCACTGTTTATAAGATTGAACTGAAAAGCGGGGAGGTTGTTGCAGTGAAGAAGATGTGGACTGTAAAAACAAAAGATTCTGCTCCAGAGGATCGATTGGCTTGGAATAAAGGGTTGAAGAATGAGGTTGAAACTCTTGGAAGCATACGTCATAAAAACATTGTCAAATTGTATAGCTACCTCTCAAGTTTAGACTGCAGCTTCTTGGTTTATGAGTACATGCCAAATGGAAATCTATGGGATGCTCTTCATGAGGGGTGGATTCATTTGGACTGGCCAACTCGACATCAAATTGCACTTGGTGTTGCACAGGGCATCGCATACCTGCATCATGACCTGATGCTACCCATCATCCATAGAGACATCAAGTCAACCAATATCCTCCTGGATGTTGATTACCAGCCCAAGGTTGCAGACTTTGGCATAGCCAAAGTTTTGCAAGCAAGAGGAAAAGATTCCACCACTACTGTCATTGCAGGCACCTATGGTTATATGGCTCCAGGTAATTTCCTGATTCAACTCAGTTACATCTTCATTTTTCTCTTGATAAAGAAAAGCATTTATATGTCATTTAGACAAACTTAAGCAGAAAATAACTTAAACGATCAAGAATTTAGTATATTAATTGTGTAAATCATATTAAGAACCTATATGCATCATGGTTAGAAATTCGAGACCATTCATGCCATCATATATTGTTTACTAATTCGTAATTTTTAGTGTTTTTGCATACTTGAATTCTCTAACTAAATTTGATTGATGGCTGTGACAGAATATTCATTTTCAAATAAAGCCACAACCAAATGTGATGTGTACAGTTTTGGAGTGGTTTTACTAGAACTAATAACTGGGAAGAAGCCAATTGAGGCAGAGTTTGGGGAGAACAAGAACATTGTATATTGGGTTTCAACAAAGGTGGATACTCCGAAGGGAGTTATGCAAGTGCTAGACAAGCGTCTATCTGATTCATTTAGGGATGAGATGATTGGGGTTCTTCGCATTGCTATACACTGTACATATGAGAAACCAACCCAACGACCGACCATGAATGAGGTCGTTCAGTTGCTGCTTGAAGCAGACCCTTGCAGATTCAATTCTAGCAAGTTGTCAAGCAAGACCAAAGAGGCATCAAATGTCACCAAGACAAAGAACCCATCAGACTCATGATCACATCAGTTGCATGATGGGGTTGAGGCAAATGTAACATAGCATCTTTAGAATAGCAGAGTCACTAAAGTATTCGGAATATCTTATTTGACACAAGTGGCTTGTAGATTCTCTCTTTTTGTTTTTCTTCCTTTTTATTTAGTTTTTCAGCTATTGTAAGGACTTGATGAGTTTAATCAGTATAACTGCTTTATTATAACGCATGGCATCTTACATAGACCCACCAATGCATCATTCCCTAGCTTTTGAGATCCTTTATACCCTCTGTATACTTCATCTTTATTTCATGAGAGTGATCCAAAGAAAAGAATAGCCCAAAAAGATGCATATTATTGGAGAGGAGTTGGAGATAGTGATCTGGAAGAGGCTTCTTTTTTGCAATGAAGTGGGTTATCAATTCCATTTTGAGGAATTATTCCAAGTTTACAATATGGAGATCCACTTCATAATTGTAGATATGAACTGTCCTGATTGATTGATTTTGTCTCTACAAGTAACTTAAGGGCAAGGGTGAAATCAAGAAGCCTATGTTTTCCTTTTTCATGTTCCATTCTCTTACTTTCTTTGTGTTTGATTAGATTGTGTATTGAAAGTGTATCAAGAATTGGTTTCACTATAGATGGTGTTCCATAAACATCCACTTACAAGTTGGAGCACTTTTTATTTATTAATTAAAGTAATATAAGTGAGAGTAGGACACATTATTCTTTCCCTTGTCTATGAAAATTCTAATATAAAAGCTTCTCCATTGCCAGGCAGAATTAGTTTCAACAACTAATTGATCAAGAATAGTAATGTCTAATGTTGATCGAGCCATTTGCACATGGAAAATAAGGGTTCTTCCCTAGCATTTTAAAACCATTGTTTCTCTAATAATTCATTGAGTTGCTTTACAGTCTACTCTAGCATTAAGTATTTCTTAAGGCATTATCAAGTATAAATAGTAGTATATAGATCATGTAGAGGACATTCTAATCATTCCTTGAAGACGGCAACTAGAAAACAAGAATACATGTTGCCACCTGTGTGTGGAGAAATACTTGTGTATACAAAAGCATATATTTCAGTGTCTTAACTTTGTGAGTGGTTTGCGGGGTCCTCATAGCAGAATGAGATTCATGAGGAAATGTATTTTCTTTCGGCATGGTGGAGAGCCCATAAATTAAAGTGAAAGGTTTTGATCAATGGAATTGTTCTCAAAACAAAAAAGCCGGGTATCAACTATCAAAGCAAACTTTTCCTTCCCTGTCCCCTTGTCAATCCAAAATAAAAAAAAGGGGGAAGAAGAAGAGAAGGATATGAACATGCTTGGCTAAGATAATGGAATTGTTTACAGGACAGATATGTCCTCCATTCGTACAGGAAACAAAAATCAACATGACATGATTCAATTCAAGACCCATAAATGTCAAAACTACACTGAGCACTAGCAAGGCAAAAGCATAAGCATAAGCATAGATTCATGACCCATTAATGTCAAAACCACAATAAGCACTCAACAAAGAAGAGATTCATGACCCATTCATGTCAAAACCACATGGATGCTTCATAAATTTTGCTTCCATTTTCCACAAACAATATAAACAGAAACAGCATATAATCATACCTGTCTTCAGGGAAACTAATTTGAACTGCTACCCATTGCCTAAAATCACAAATAAATGATAGTGAATTAGTAATTGTGGAATAATACATTGACAGCCACAAATAAACACATGATTGAAATCATGAATAGTTTTTTTTTTTTTTTAATGCCACTAATAATAAAGTAGACTCAATTTGGTGGGAATTATTTATTAATTTAATGAAAGTGACTCATGATGCAAAAAATAGTCTCTCAACTCAATTGAATTGCCTCAGCACAAGACAATGGTCCCAAGTAAGACAGCCAATTGTGAGAAAATCAGAAATTCCACAATAATAGTTTTTTATATCACTACAGTCTCAGATATCAGAGGAGTGGTTGTCAGGGCCGATATATTTTTCCGGTTCAAGCTGAATTTTCATTAAATTTAAATTTAGTACCAAACATTGTAAAAAAAATAAAATAAAAAGAAGAAAAATAAAATAAAATAAAGTAAAAGAAGAACAACACTCTGGGGAAAACAACAGACAAGCAAGAAGCTTCAGAGTTGTGAGCCTGAGATAATTCAAATGGCTTGGTGCGATTCTGATGCAACCAAACAAGGAAGAATAGTTTTATATTTTAATTTTTCTTTCTTTGAAAGAAGCTTAATTTTGATCGGATCAGGATGGCAACTCTCCGACTTCTTTTGTTTTCTGTTTTGTTCTTGTTCGCCGATCAAGCAATGCCGGCGAAAAGAATTAGGCTGGGTCTGGTGCAGACGGAGCTACATTTTGCTTTCATTGGCCCAATAATATTCACGTTTACGGATTACGGTCCACGAACTGTATTTCTTTTTGGTCCAACAGGCCCGATATTCCACAGGAGCTGAATTCAACGTTGTTTTGATTTTGATTTTGATTTTTTTAAAAGGCTGTTTTAAAATTAGAAGACCTCAAAGCAGTAAATCCCTTATAAATTTTATTAAACATAAGCCTGTCGGACATTTAATGTTGAAATGCCCTCTTAAATGTGCAACATTAACACGTAGTAAAAACCTCTTGTATGATATATTATAGGTACTCTTTACATTATTAACAATTTATTAATTTAAGTGAAAGAAACTCAATTTAAGGGTTTTGAGTTTAAATTTTATAAATAAAAAAATATACTATAATACCTTTTTTCTTACAGAGTTTGATACAATTCGATTCTAAATTAATTAAAATTTAATATAACTTTCAAA